CGGAGAAGATTTGGAATATGTAGAAACCTTTGCAAATTTGGGGAGCATCATTGATAAACACGGAGGATCTGATACAGATGTGAAGGCGCGGATCTGTAAAGCAAGAGCAGCATATTTACAATTGAGGAACAACTGGAACTCAAAACAACTGTCACTCAACACCAAGGTCAGGATTTTCAATACAAATGTCGATACAGTTCTACTGTATAGGGTGGAAACCTGGAGAACTACGAAAGCCATTATCCAGAAGATACAAGTGTTTATTAACAGTTGTCTACGCAAAACACTTCGGATCCGTTGGCCGGACATTATCAACAACAACCAACTGTGGGAGAGAACAAACCAGATTCCACTGGAGGAAGAAATTAGGAAGAAGGGCTGGAAGTGGATAGGACACACATTGAGGAAACCATTCAACTGCGTCACAAGGCAAGCTATCACATGGAATCCTGAAGGCCAAAGGGAAAGAGGAAGACCAAAGAACACATTACGCCAAGAAATGGAGATAGACATGAGAAAAATGAACAAGAATTGGATAGAACTAGAAAAGAGGGTTCAGGACAGAGTGGGTTGAAGAATGCTGGTCGGTGGTCCATACTCCATTGAGAGTAACGGGCGTAAGTAAGTAAGTAATAGTGTAGCAGAATGGTGGGATCATCAGTTTTGATAATCAAAGGTTTAACGATTTCTGTGACTTGTTATTGAATAGTTATAAGTTTAGTGAAGAATATCCATTAGATGAAATTCAATCAAGATTGAAGATAATGTCATATGATATTAGTTTCTATCACAGAGAATGTTTAGCCTAATTGACCTTGTTTATGATGGATTGTTCACAATCAAATAGACTTAACAGAAATTTTTCCAGAAGAGAAACACACTGAAATATTGAAGTCTTATAACTGAATATAAGCAAGTAATTATTATGAGATTATGTAGTGTTAATTGTTGATTCTTTCTAATCATCAAACACTGAACATTTACGAACTTGTTGATTGGGCTTCTGTAGTTTGATAACTTCATTTGTCTCGGTTGTTTAAACATATGGTATGAATTTCATCTCAGTAACTTCCACAACATATACTATTTACTATTGCTTAGGCTGGCTGAAGAAAGATTCAGGCCAATCAGTCTATGATATAGTTTAATGATATGAAAGAAATCTGAATAGAATTGGTGATTGTCAGTGCATCAGAACACCCTGATTTGGGTTCTACAGATGGTGCACGTTAATGATGTGGGCTGTTATCAGCCATGGCCAAGGTTAAAAGCCAATAGTGATGTTACGATAACTCTCTTTTATATTTCTCAATAATGTGCAAGGAACTCTGTTATCTACTGAAAACCATTCACAGTTGTATTTCTACCTGAAATTTATCTTCTATATTATATATCGTTACTTTTTTATTTGACTAATCTCTACTCAATTTATATGAAAAATGATGTATGTGCATAATAGGCGAAAATAACATTTAAAACAATTTAGCCAGTAAAAGAATTATATTTTGACCACATTTCCTATTCTAAATCTACCTAAGTTAAAATGTCTATCACATTCTGCTAGAAACCAATTGACGGTTAATAAGAACATAAAGTCGTGATCTTTCAATCTACCAGTCGATAAATTCGAGCTTCATCGAACTAAATACCATAAGTCTATTGTATTAAATGATCATAGTTGTGACTGTGATATGCAAAGTGGAAATGAAACGTTGAGATCTTTTGATCTGAATGATAGGTATAATAATTCATTAGTTAGGCCCTCGTAATTCGTTTCACAGAAAGTCTACTCTAATTGAAAATATTGTTCAACATAAACAGCAGTCTATTTCATTAAGATATTGTTATATCCCGACGAGAATTATGAATGGTAACTTTTGAGAAGTATTGATGGACAAATATTGTATGTATATTCCTAACGTACGATTATTTAGTAGCTAGATTATATATATCTATATTTCGCTTATTATAAGCTTTATTTTGACTCATAGATTATTATTATACGAGATACCGTTCTTCAGTTATGACTAGTCTAGTAATTAAAGTCTCCCATTTTCATATCCACACTTGCTAGATCTTGTACAACTGTTATTTTTTTATTTTATTGTACGATGTGGTCTGTTTGGTTTGTATATAAACCCAGTATGTTTGAAATACATGTTTCATATCGCAGAGGCTGAGATTGGTGTTCTGGACTACAACAGGAAGAATTAGGCAGGAAGAAGAAACAATAAAGACTGTAAATTACTCGTTTGGGTTTATACTTCATTGGTTTGGTCGATAATTCACTGTGCTCTAATTGACGGTATCATTACGTAATACATTAAAAGGGCACAAGGCCATAAAATTTAATAAATTCAGAGGGAGCTGAGTATTATTTTAATTTTAGCATAAGAACTCACTTGTTTACATTATATATTGTGGTATTTGAACTAACCAATAAGTTCTTTTTACTTGGTTGCTCGCTTATTACTAATTACAAATATAATATTCATTTAGTTCTACTTGGCTAGAATTGCACTACTTTAGTAATTCATAGCACATTAATCCAAGTACTTCTAATCATCGTCACATATATATACATACAATGTTTATAAAAATCTTCCTAACTTGTTTATATTTCTTTAATTTCGTCTGCATTTAGTACTTAAGTCTCCAAAACATTAAAACGATATAGTACTGTGCACAAGTTTACACTTTTATTGGTCACTAAATATGCTGTATAACTTATATTTCTGACTAATTGCAAAACAGTTCAGCGATGATTCGGTTTGTATGAGAAATAACACAGTTGTCATATATCTTAAATATTTTCATTGTTACAAAACTGCTAACTAACCAAATCTCTCTCTAGTTAAAGTCGTTATAGGTACTTTGTCGTAATCTTTTGAATAATTTATTAGTTTTTTAATGGACGTTGGGCATATTTTATGAAAATGAATTTTTACAAACTAAAGCAAATCAACTTTACACATATTCATTCTAAACTGTAGCTGTTTTAAAGCTTTTATTTAAAATACTGGCAAGATTAGGTCAAAGAAGATTTTTGGTTTGGTTATTACAACTAATCCCATCAATATTGTTATATAGATAGTTGTTGTTAACTGTTCATTTATCAATCTAAGAACTGATAAATCTTGCTTTAAGTCAATTAGTAACATTTAATCAAACTGACAATTATTCCGAGGCACTAATATATGACAAACAAGGCTTGCAAAATCACAACTTGTAAAATTATTCATCTTAAGGGGCATTATGGCCATTTCTTATGCTTTATGAAAAGTTTTACTTCAGAAAGCTGGGTCTGTTGTCAATAATGGATACAAAAAATATCACCATTGTGTTAGTTCTAATTCTAAATGAATTATATTCATGATGTTTCACTAAAGATTCCTTTAAATGAATAGTTTGATAGATGGTCAACACCTGGCTCAAAACTTGTTGTTTTAAAATAAGCTAAACTGTCTGGAGCAGCATAGTACATCATAGGTGTAGTTAAATCTCTCACTGGGTACATAATACTGTTTGTCTGTGCTTTTTACTTTGGCAAGTTGGTGACTTTCCTTCCGACAGCTGACTATAGGTTGCTTAGGATCCATGTCATTAGAATCTATCAGAATGGTATTTTGCAACTACAAACCATAGACAGATCTTCCGTTTATGTATGAACCAATGATTTTTTCGTACTTGATTCGCTTATGGTTTTGAATTCTAAATGCAGCATGTTTGTTTGTGCTCATCTAACTCTCTTTGGCTTAAATTGCACTATTTCGGAAATTTTTAGTTAATACAATAAACTGAATACTTCTAATTATCATAAAACTGTAAATTAAAACTAGCTGCAGGATGTCTAAGAATATGCGATAACAATATCGAGAAAATAAACACACCGTGATGCCCGAAATAGAAACCATAACATCGATATTATTTTCACGACAAATTTATAAATCCTTTGTTGCAATGTCATACCATCTAAGTCGGGACGGAAGGCATGTAAGCTTCTAGCACAATAAAGTTGTAGACTTATAACAAAGGGCATTAAGAAAATCTAAAAGCAATTCATTTTAAAATCGAGTAAGTATGAATACCATCAACAATCAGCTTTAAGTTAGTTATTTGAATTTGTTCTTTTGGTTATGATGGAATACATAAACCATAGTATCACGTTCTAAAATTTTTAAGCCCAATGCATGATGAAAAAATAATGCAATGGAGCATATCAGATTTATTGGAATCGTATATTTTACTTTGTCCAAACAGTAACTTTTCACGTTTGATATTCCTTGGAGTTCAAGGCAGATATAGTAGTTTACTAAACACCAGAAAATGATTTCTCCGATGCATTTCATCATGTTGACTGGCAACGTTTGGAATCGTAACTAAATTTTCTTAAATTTCAATCGTATGCTAGCCATAACTCCCAGTCATTCGTAAGAAAGCCATTACTCTCTATACTACTAAAGGCTGAACAAGTTGTTGTAACAGTTTGTGTGTCTTAGTTTTCATACGACTCATAGGTATCGCTTACTCCAGGCTACTTTATTCCGATTTGTGTAAAAACTGTCTGCTAGTAGCATAGCTGACGAGTAAATATTTGCGCATTGCTATTCTACATACTACAGAGTATAGTTCAATTAAAATTCCGTCCTAAGTGGCTAAAATGAAGGATACAAATGGTTCCAATCACAAAACTGTAAATTTTTGATTGTGAGTAATATCGTAATCTAAATCACGTACCTACAAAGAGTGAGGAAAAATATTGCAAAACAAAGTGAAAGAGAAATTTGTAGGTGCATGTGAAAACTGGAAATGCACCTTTCTGGAAACCATAGTACTTCTAAAATAAATTTGGGGATAAGTTGTTGCAGAGTTCAAATGAAGAAAAAATAGTGTGTTTTCTTCAGAATAGGAAATATGAGAAATCAGTACACTAGCCAGTGTGAGTATTTGTGCAACAATCGTATGTAGGCACATTTTATTATAAATGTTTAATATGACATTTATTTGGTAACGTAAATATAATCGTATCCTTCCAAGAGGTTTATGTCTTTTTCTATGTCTTCCATTTCTTTTTCAAGCCATAATTTGTGGTGCATTTTTGGGGGAGTGTCAATCATAACAGATAAAGATTGATACTGTCTATATCTTTGCTGCCACTTGTCTTTTAGTTGATCAATTAAAGACTAAGTTGATAGAAAGTTACGAAAGCAGATAAACAGTCCTACCTTTTTCTCATCTTTTGTGATAACCATCAGAGCATTTTTCTCCTTAAGTTGTTTAATGTATTCTTCATAGTTCTTTTGGGCTTCAGAAGCGGCTTTCTCACGCTCAGAGAGATATTTCGGCAATTCACCAAAATCCTGTATTCATTCAAAGTTGACCAATGATGAGTGCTCACCTTACGCTTAATATAAAAAGGCTCAAGACCAGAACACTTGATATCAAACTTATGGCCTGTCCTCGTATCTACCACAAACGGTTTGGGTTTTGAAGGCACTGACGCTTCTATCATCCTTATATTCTTTTTGATAAAATCTTTGCATGAAATGACGTTCATTGCTTTAGATTTAAGAGACGGCAGGGGTTCTCTTTTAGCTGAAAGATTACATTTATAATAGCTGCCTGGATATTCATAAAACCTGAACCAACAAAATTAAACTACCCTTCAATGGCTCGTCGTTTTTGCGAAATAATTCAGGTGCTGAGTGTCTCATCTTAAGATAGCATTGCGGATTTGGTGGATTAACTTTTGGGACTCCCATAGTTTTACAAGGAAACTTTTTAATGTTAAATAAGGATATCACTTCTCTCTGGCTACATGATTTATATCTAAAATCAATATGACAACAACAAAAAACTAAAATTACCTTGGTAAGGAAGCTTTAGGTGGCTGTTCTAAGGGTATTAAATTATATATGCTTTCCCTCATCGAAAATCTGTTTTAAAATGTGCACGTCACTGTTGTTATGGTGCTAATTAGATGTCCAATGTTTCTTTTTCAGCCATCGCGTCAAAGTTTCGGAAAGTGAGTTAAACCTAATAGTGCCGCCCGTTGACAACTTCGCTTACTTCACCCTAATATTCATCAGAAATCTAACACTCATACAAGGGCTCGATTATTTTCAGGTCATCAGAGCCGTTCGTCTGGAACTGGAACTAGGAGTCATTATCTCATCATGCAGCTGTTTGATTAGTAACATTAGACTTTTAAAAGTTGTAACTCAAATAACAATAAGAGACGAAAGAACGTGCGTTAATGAGGGAATGAAAATATATTTAAATCAATAAATATGAGGGAATACTACAAAATAAGAGCATTTGGAACAAAAAGACGAAATAGAAACTAGACTAGAAAATGCTCTTCGTATACTTACGTCTGTCCATGTCTGTGCGTGTGAAACCCCCTCTGTGCGCATTTTACTTAACAGTAACTCCTGGTTTTACTTTAATTGTAAAGTTATTTTTTTAAGACCTTCATTCTTACATATTGTGTTCATATATTTCCGACTTCAAAAGCGACTGTATGTATTTATTTCGCTTATATTTTTAGTCACCGTCACCGTCATCATACACCATTTCAAGACTGTCTTCGTATAATTCTACTCAACTACTTCACTTCGTGGGGTGCTTCCATATTGCATCTCTGTGTTCAAGTGTTGCTACTGGAAATGGTTGAATTAATCTGCCGTTTGACGATAGAACTACGTCTCTAGTTTGCCTTAAATGTTTTAATTCTTTGAACAGGTAGTTGGGTAATTACCTCTAAGCTAATAATGCACTTAATATTTTGTAATGTGTTAGTGTCAAGTTTTGAGGTACAGATCAATGCTCTCCGCATGGGAGGAAACTCTTTCTCTGTGATCATATGGCTTTACAAGGTCTCTCAAGTATGGATCTGTCTACCCAGTAATATAGAGTTGAGTTGTTTTAATTTAGGTTAAAGACTTGAAATGATTGACTAATTAGTTCAAACTTAGGGCCAGAAACGCGTGGGTTCAATCTGAGAATAATGGCTCTGGAAAAAAGAGACGAAAACTATTCTATTCTGTGACTGGTCGATGAGTGAAAGTGAGCGCAAAAGCGAGTCATCTGTAAGACTTATTCTTGATTTCCGGCCTGGATCAGTATAAAAAGATGCATAAATAAAGAAATAAATAACGCTACCACAAAGCTCAAACAATTCGAAAAATGCAGTTATGTCCAAAATAAGCATTAGGATATAAAAATGTTTACAAAATGTCACGTTTGAATTTCAAAGGCTTTGGAACTGAAAAGGATATGTCAGTGAATCATACATCAAACGACAGCTTAGGAATAACCAGGGACAGAACCAAACGTTAGTATTTTCTAAATTTTGAATTAAGTGAAATGATATTTCCCAAGACAACTTCCACTGCTTGTCATGACTTCTTCACTTGTCTGTTCACATCATCTTCACACTTGATAAAAAGGTTATAACTACCATTTGTCATTGTGCATACGTATGGGGAAATGACTAACGTTGTGACCCTTGTAAAATGTGACCAGTCCAGGTAAATGGAATAAATAAATGAAAAAGTTGACTGGTCACTTGTCGCAAGCAGCAACTAAGATATCATCATCGACATCTTCGCCTGGAAACGTTGCACGCTTCCCTTTTTAGGCATAATTAGAGAAACTCTGCTTTCCTGCATTTCAGTAATAAATTTCTCATAAGGTTCTATTCTCATCCTACAGTCATCTGAGTCGCTGTCTGAGGTTTCCCACACAAACCCACGTTTTTGGATTTATGTGACGTGTCAGAATTTTCCGGTATTCGATCTGCATGGCGTATCCATTTTTGATATTCAGCTGCCGATAGTGTAGTCTCATCGGCTGAGATATTCATATATCACTCCTAACAAATTGCACCCCAGAAAGAAGTTTCCTCTGCTACTGCTATTCTCTTCTGCTCAAATTGCTAGAGGTGCCTCACTGAGGAACTGGGTGGTCTCCACTAGGGCTCTTTCATGTTTTATTGCCATGTTTTCCTTCCGAAAACATCAAAAACTACTTTGACTGACCTTTTCTTTCAGGATGCTATGGTTTCGAGGGAACATAAGTGACAGCTTTGTATCGTCGAACGTCAGAGAATAATTAAGATGTGAGTACAGATTCATGCTTGGTAACAACTGATTTTTGAACCATATAGAATAACAATATCTCTCAGAAATAATCGCTTACCTCAGTATGTAATCACGCGCCACTGTAGACGATTTTCAGAATGTTCGGGTGTTTTCGATTTGGAACCAAAGTCTGCTAGTAAGACCTCATGATCAAGCGATCATAGAAAATGTCCGAATTTTCCGGTATTAGTCCACCAAAAATGAACAACTGGCATCCCTTTAATATTACACCTCAAACTATTGAGCACAGGAATTATTACCACAATTTCCAAAGGTTTCGAAAACAATTAAATTCGTCCAAACGGTGGTGTGAATAGGGTACCAACAACGGGTAAATTCATCCACAAATGGGCACGAGTAACCTGTCCGTCAAGAAAACAAACCAGGGAACTAGGCAGGAGCCTGAAATTGAACTGGTAGTGTAACTTTTAACCTCAAACATAAGATGGTTTCCCCAGTATTGAGTACCGAAGCTGTGTATAACCCATCCAGACGCTGAGAAATGATTTACATAATTGATCATAAACATTATCTACATGGTCACATTGAGCACTGGTAATCATTTGCAATCACATCGGACAATAAAATTGCCGCCAAAGACAGCCAAATCATAATTTTGTTGTTTTGATTTGTTCAACGCTTGAAATGCTTTTTACCTCTCAGTCGTAGATATGGCAGATTCAGTGGAGTGAGGATTATCACTCAGGAACAAGACTAGTGTTCATGTGCTGACCATAGTTAACTTGGTACAACCAAAATGGATACAATCGTTCCTATACATCACCTATCTTGACATTCATTTGTTCATTCCAACACGGAAGTCACTTGGATGGTTTGGGAAGAGCTGAGGATTTAGTTAACCTCTTCGTTTACCCTGTAGTGGTATTGATTCTAAACAAATGATCCTTCAAGTTGAACATGAAACAAGTGAGAAAATCCATATTTGACATTTAACATAGAGAGATCAAGAATTGTGAACGCGAGAATAATTAGTTAATAATAATAATAATAATAATAATAATAATAATAATAATTTAATCTCAAGTAACAATTTGTTATATGAGACATGACACTTTAAGAGCAAGATCGAATTGTTACAAAAATACAATTTTCACCGTAGTAAATTACTCAGCTGTGTTGATATTTTATAATATATGGATGTAGATGGTTTTAGTTATGATCTTATTTTCAATATCGCAGTTGGTGTGCATTATGAAGGTTGAGTTGCGACGTGCGACGTCATGAATAGATCCGAGTGAAGTTGGGGGCTTATAGAACCTTATATGCCCCAGGAATATCTGAGGCTTTGAAGATGGTGCGGGACAAAGTCACCCGTTCCATATCTGTTTTCGGTGACATATCTTGAGGGGTCTGAAAAAGGTTGTAAAAAAAAGAAGGGACGAAAAGCAGAGTAGACAATGTTCATGGAGTAATAATTGAGGTATGACTACTCAGTATAATTCTCTTTTATTAAGGTATGTATCAAGAAAGAGCATTCAAATATGTTAAAGAAAATATGTGCAAACAAGGTATGAGTGAATAAAAAACTGTATAAATGAAGGTGGTTCAGAAAGAAACTGAAGGTATGGAATTACGTGTATTTATAAAGTGCAGTGCTGAAAACAGTATTCTGAAAAATAAATGGCTGTCGCCCTCTTTTGTCCAAGCTATTTGAGCCCACTTTTTGTAGATTTTATAGGGTTTTAAGGATGCTTCGTTTTTAACGAATTGTCTAGTTTGCTTCTAACATGATTACTCGATGGGAAGTGAAACTAGTTCAGCGATTTGACCACGATTTAAATAGGTATTTTACGTAGTAAATCAACATCAATACGATTGGTTCATGAATTTCCACTACACCATAAGGAGCCGTAATCAAACAAAATGTTCTGCTTAGACCATTTCGACAAACCGAGGAATCCTAATTGAGAACCTATCGATGCTAGCACAGTTGGGCAAATGTACTTACAGTTTTATTGCAAATACGGAGCCAAGACATTCTGATGTCAGCAAGATTTGGAACGTTAAACGGTTGGATTTTTACAGTTTTAAAAGACGATCTACAGAAAATGGACTCCGAAGTATGCCCCTTAATTAATGCAGGTGTTCATTGAAACATCTTACCGTAAACGAAACACCGTGTGGATCATTTTATCTTCAAAACGGCATCCAAAATTTACAGAAATCAAACTATTTGCATGTTTAAACTGAGAAGGTACAAATGGGTGAAATACATGCAGATAAGCAACGTCAGCAGCTTCAATCTTGAAAACACTACATGTAAGACACATTTTGAATGTATTGTGTGTGAAAATCCATCAACTTATACACTTGAGGTTTGTTCCTATCGATTCCTTCAGTTGTACATTTTGTTAGTCTTTTTGATTCAGTCGAGTTGGTAATATTTGTATGTTATTATAGTTTTTATTTTTCTTACGCATCCACTAAGTTTCCGTATTTCTTCCTGAACTGCGTTTATGTTGTCTTACTTGATACTTGGTCTTCACGGCAGCCATATTGGTTTGTCCCTCCCTATGATTTTTAAGGATGACGGTCCAGTATTAGCAGTGAGATTGACTGAGATCTTAGATAGAATTCGGGAACTGGACGTAATCGCATCTGACTGGTCTCAATCACTGATTGTGCCAGTCTATAATGTCTATTGAGGCACACTTCCAGAATTGGAAACACTCTGTCTTATAAAGCAACCCAAATATTATCGTTTAAACGAGTTTGCGCGTGGTCTATCTAGACAGAATAGAATAACATTTGTTTGTTGTGATTG